TTGGGTTCGGTGACCGAACCCGAACGTTCGCGACCGAACGCGAACGAGCGGCAAAACCCTTCGGACGCGAACATAAAAATATTATTAAAAGACAAAAAAAACAATTCTCAGAAACATCTATAAAAAAAAAAATGATATGTAAATAAGTAATACAAACAATGTTTGCCTGGGAGGTATGCTCAAATTCATAACCAAACTCGAGTTAAAAATCAAAAATAAAAAAAGTTTTTTTTTTTGTTTTTTTTTTTCGAATATATTCGATCGAACACGTTCGGACGGTGTTCGGTCGAACACCCGAGCATGTTCGGACGTTCGAAAAAGCTCCAAACATGTTCAGTGTGCTATACAGATTTTGGATATTTAAGTAGTTCATGGCGACTAGGCATTGTTTCTAAGTTGGATGGTATATGCCGAAAAAAGATAGAAGTAGTTGTACAACCTGTTTGTGTATAGGCATGCTGAATGGTCTAGCACCATGCCATGTGTAAGATGGGTACAAGAGATAATCATCTGGAGGATCAATGAACTATCTTACGAGGAAAGATGCTTGCCACGTGCTAGAGCTGTAGGAGTTAGTTCAATTCCTCTATTTGCTGAGTTAGGTTTATTTTACTTAGTTCAATTTTAGCATTTTCTGGGTTAATTTTGTTACGAGAACCCAACCAGTGAACCTGATTACCGCACCACGAGTGGGTTGTTGTTTGAGAAGACAGGCGTCGAAGATCGGCTATGCATTCCGAACAGCGAAGAGATCTGTAGTCTGATCTGATGGGAATGTCACGATATAGAAGGCCATTTCGGTTGGCAAAAGACATTAGCCAACCTAACACGTGCCTACACGTGGCATGAAAGTTGACTGCATAGAGTACGTGCGTAGTTGCAAGGTATGCCAGTGCAACAAAACTACGACTCGAGCGCCATTGGGTCTTCTTAGACCCTTGCCTATCCCTTCAGGACCCCGAGACTCTGTCTCCATTGACTTTATGGATGCTAGGGTCAGGAGTAGGCATGGCGAGAGCCAAGTCATGGTTGTAGTTGATTGTTTTAGCAAGTATGCCGTTTTTGTTCCTTTGTCCTCTGAGGCACGCACAAAGTTAGTTATAGAGAAGTTTTTTTATGCTTGGGTAAGCGAGCACGGTATTCCGCTGTCCATAGTTAGTGATAGAGACACGCGGTTTACTAGTCAGCATTGGCAGGAACTTATGCAAGTCTATGGCTCGAAGTTGTTGATGTCTTTTGGCCGTCATCCAGAGACTAACGGTCAGACTGAGCAAATGAATAAGATCCTGCAGCAGATACTCAAGATGTACATTAGACCAGATTAGATTAACCCGGATGAGATGCTCCCTAAGGTAGCTAGCGCCTACAACAATACAAAACTCCTAATGAGTTGCACAAGTCCTTTAGACGACGCAGGTCGTTTGAAGGACTAAATCGTGACCACCCGGAACTAGAGAATTTGCGCTGCAGCATGAGAGAGAAATCGCAAGGGTGACTGAGAATCTGAGGAAAGCGCAGCACAAAATGATAAAGCAAGCTAATAAGCATCGTGGCCCATTGCAGTTTGAGGTAGGTGATTTAGCTAAGGTCTAGTCTAAGGAGTTCGCCCCATAAGAGAACATCTCACATAAGCTGTTACCCGCGTATAGGGGACCGTGGGCTGTCGTAGAAGTAAAGGGCGGAGAAGATGGGCCTTACTACACAATATAGATATTGGCACACCTCCACACATACTCGGTCTTTCGTGCATCAAAGTTATCACCTTGTGTCACTAGCCAGCAATTTATGTCGTGTCGATCGATCATTCCGCCGGATATGGATGGCACATATGACATTGATCGCATTCTGGAAGAGGATGTGTTCGGAACCAGAGGTAGGGGTCGTCCACAGAAGCAGTACAAGGTCAGGTTCGCTTATCAGGAACCTGAGGACGACCGCTAGCTTACAAGAGCAGAGCTTCTCGAGACCACTCTCGACATAGTGCACACCTACGACAGAGAGAGGAAAGGTAAAGGTCCTGCCTTGCGTTGATATTCTCGGAGGACCTCGAATTTAGGCCGGCGGGAGTGAAACGGTTTTCACCTTTACAGTAGCAGATGCAATTCCCAGGGCTCGATCCCTAGATCTCACCCTCACCCTTGTACAGTACCAGTTCACCCGTGTGTGCTTGAACCTATGACCCGAGTCTTGAAAGTCGCCTGTTTGTCTATTGTAGTTAGTATGGTTGTCGGGTCTTGAATCGTAGGTCTGTAGATTAGAAGTCTTAGCAGTGGTAGGAGCTGTAGCTGCTACAGTGTCGAAGGGTCAAGGTCGTAGCTGCTACAGGATCAAAGGGTCAAGTCTACGGCTTTCCGGAACTTTCGGAAGTCGCCTTTCGTAAGTAGGAGTCGGTCTGCGTCTCAGTAGGCAGGGGGCAGTCCTAGCACATTCAGCAAAGGGCAGTCCTAGATCTACCTAGCCGAGTCAGTAGTACCTGGTCCCAAGGTGCACCTTGTCCAGTCAGCAAGTACCATGTGGGACTGTGCACACCCCCGGCCCGGGGTCCAGGGGCAGACCTTTGATGATCCGAAGTCTAAATAAAGAGGCAGCCTCAAGTCATTCATTCATTCTGTGTTACATGCCCTGTTGGGCAATGTATGTAGAGCCAAGGATCTGTAATGTGATGAAAAGGACTTAATGGACAATGCAGTGCTAGTGGCATCTCATCAAGCAGTGTACATCCTGATACATACAAAAATGGCACATAATAGCGTGGGGGAAGACTTAGATATAAGCCCTGACCTGATCGGGACTGACCTCTCTCACGTAGTACAAGACAGCGCAACCGAATGCAAGAATACCAATGACTTGCCCAATCAATGTTGCAATACAGACCAAACATACATCATCCTCGTCACAAGGCTTGAAGGGGCATGGCGCTACACACAGGAAGAATGCGCCAGGTCCAGACCATACACAGACGAAGAGGAGGGGATCAGATGAAGAAGAGGGGGAAGATGGGAATGTCGTCAACACCAAGTCTTCGGTACAAGTCCCAGATAATCCATCGTCAAATGTCTGAAGCCCAATGTCGAGTCTGGATCCAAATGTCACCAAGCCCTCTCTCTCCTAGTCTGCTGATGCAGTGAAGTCAGGTAGCGAGAGGGTGAGAGGGAGATGATGGATTAAGAAGAGGAAGAAGAAGAACTCTCTCTCTCTCATGTGCCAGGTACCGACCTGTGAAGATTGCGCTGTGCTGCAGGTACCTCGAAGACGAAGCTGGAGCTATGGCGTTGCAGGTAAGTCTCCCTGGCCTCCACCCAATCTCTCTCTCCCCCCCCTGTACTACTCTAGCTCCGACAGCCCCCGGCACTGAAGACTACTGGTAACGCTGCTACTGCTATTGCAGCGCTCCTCCAGAGTTCTGCTGCCAAATCCTGAAGACTACCTCCTGCCTCCTGAAGTGCACGTGAAGTGCGTGGGAAGTCCCTATGAACTACCTGGAGCCTGCAGGGAGGGCTAGTCTTATGTAGTGCTGGCCTGTCCAGGAGGCTGCTCTTGCCAATGCCAAAACTTGCCAGACCCTGGCATTCAAGCTCAAACAAAGGTTGTCTTGAAAACAGGCCCAAAATGGCCTGTGCTAAAACCCTGGTTTGGTGCCTCAGTTTCAAAGCAGGTCGATCTTACGAGGGCTTGAAAATGGCCCTCCGTTTCAGGCTGAAAAGACTTAGGGCTTGGAGGGCCCTGTTTTAGGCTGAAACGACACAGGGCCTGTAGGCCCTTGTTTTCAGGCTTTCAGGTTGAAACGACATAGGGCTTGTAGGCCCTTGTTTTCAAGCTTTCAGGCTGAAAAGACCCAGGGCCTGAAAATGACCCTCGTTTTGCAGGCGCAACATGTAACACCCCCCCCTCCTTAAGAAGTCAAGTCGGGTCGAGGGGGAAGCTGACGGTCTGAAGGTGAAACCTGGACGCGGGTGTGACATGGAGCCAAAGATAGCGGCTTGCCTTGCATCTTGCGTTCGTAGCGTGCGAGAACACCCGGAGGTGTTGCTTGGAGTTTCGCACGGGTCAACCAACGGTCAACTTTGTGGGTGCAGTACGCAAAGTGTACCAAGTATTCGGTCGGCCTGTTGCCGTAGCGTCACTGGGAGATGATGTAGCCGACCTCTTGAAAATCGTCCATAGAGGGTGGGTCTTGCAATCGTCGTTCGGGAAAATCGTCATGTTCCGCTGGCGTGTAAAGATCCAACTTGGAGCAATGAAAAACGGGGTAGATGGGCAAGTGGGGGGGCACTTGAATGGTGAAGGAAGGTCCTTCGGGTGCATCCCCACTGGGTGTCATGATCGGCCAGGGTTCCATCCATTTTGGGAGGAGCTTGCGAGAGAGATCTTGTTTGAGGCTGAATTCCGCGGTGGAAACCCAAACGAGATCGCCTGCGCGGAATGGACAAGGAAGACGTTGGCTATTGGCCTGTTGGCTCATGTGTTGCTGCGTCTTAGCCATCTTGTCGCGTGCCTCGACAAGTAGCTCTTGCATCTGACGCAAGAAAAAAAGATGGTCGCCCCTCTCGGCCGCTCGTGGAATGACCGTGTCCACCGGAGAAGTGACCGTCGAGCCGTGCTCGAAAATGAAGGGCGACATCCCGATAGTCGGGTGGATGGACGAGTTGTACGCCAACTTGACGTCCGACAGCCGCTCAACGCAATCCTTTACCTGTGTGGTCTGATGCGTTCTCTACGTTTGGCTATCAGTTTGGGGGTGGCGAGCCGAACTTGGCTTTAGAGACGAGCCCCATCGTTTGATGAGCGCCAAGCAAAAATCGGACATGAACCGAATGTCGCGGTCACAGACGATTTCCTTCGGGTAACCCTTGGTTCGAATCCAACCGGCGTAAAGAACCTCGACCAGCTCCGGTGCCTTGGCATGATAGCGGCAAGGCAAAAACATGGTGAACTTGGTGATTCGGTCGAGCACCGTGAGAATCCCATCCACACCGGTCTTGTGCTTGGGGAACGGCCCGGTAATGTCCATGGCAATCGCTTGCCTTTGGCGCAAGGGGACCGGTAATGGTCACAACTGGCCGTACGAACGATGGTTGCGGGATTTGCAGCGTCGGCAAACCTTGCATGACTCGCAATAGCGTGTGACGTCACCGAGAAGGCCGGGCCACCAAAATCGCTCGCGAGGTTCGCCAATCGTGGGATCGACTCCAAAGTGTCTGGTGGCGGGAGCATGGTGGAACTCGCCAAGAAGTAGTGTACGCAAGTGAGAGTAACTCGGTACGCAAAGAAGGTCGTTCCCCCGCGTGTGGACAAGCAAGTACCCCTCTTGGATCCGGTAGTGAGAACGTCGTGAAAGAGCATCCGCAAAACGGTCCGACTTCCCCGGAATGTGATCCGGAAAGCAATCGAATTGGTCGATGAAAGCCATCCAACAGGCGATGGTGCTATTGATGGTGTCTTGGGTCTTGTAGAAGACCAACGGATTGTTGTCCGTTACCAATCGGAATCGGCTTCGAGCAAGGAGGAAGTGCCTCCACCACTTGAGCGCGTGGATGAAGGCTAGGAGCTCCTCCTTGCGTGCATCATCAATGGAGTGCATGACGGGCACTTTCTTGCTGAAGTCCTCGACAGGGTGCCAGTCCACGCCATTGTGTTGTTCGAGGACAACACCAATGCCATAGCCGGACGCATCCGTAGTGACACGTGTTGGCAATAGCGGGTCGTATATGCGCAAGACCTCCGCCGATAATAGCACGGCTTCGAGAGCCAAAAATGATTCCCTCGCATCCTCTCCGAAGTCAAACAGAAGATCCTGGCATTGAAGCTTGGTCAAGTGGGCCGCGATCTTCGAGTGTCCCTTGATAAAACGTTGGTAGTTGCTGGCAAGGCCAAGGACGTTCTGCGGTTCTGGCCACTCTTGGATGGCTTGAATCTTGTCCGACATCGGACTGATGCCCTCCGGTGTGACAAAAAGGCCCAAGTATTCCAACTCTTGCCGGACAAATTCGTACTTGTCGCGGTTGGCTTTGTACTTGGCGCGGCGGAGCGTCTCCAACACTCGTCGAAGGTGCTCAAGATGATCCTCTACTGTCCGGCTATAAACGAGAATGTCGTCTAAGTAGACTAGCACAAACCGGTCCAACATCGCACGAAACTCGTTGGTTATTGCCGCTTGAAAAGTCGTTGGGGCATTGGTGAGGCCAAAAGGCATAATGACCCACTCAAAATGCCCGTACCGCGTTTTGAACGTGGATTTGTAGCGATCTTGCATGCGTATCGAGATTTGGTGATAGCCCGACTTCAAATCCAACTTCGAGAAGAATTTCGCGTCGCCCAAACGCTCGAGAAGGTCGTCGAGTCGTCAATCCGCGGAAGAGGTCCCGCATTCTTGACGGTTTGTGCGTTGAGCTTGCGGTAGTCAATGCACAAGCAAAGATCCTTGTTCTTCTTCTGTACGAAGAGAACTGGCGCACCATATGGTGAGCTACTAGGGCGGATCCAGCCCTTGTCCAACAGATCATCGAGTTGCGTGCGGAGAACCACGAGCTCTTTCTCGCTCATGTGATAGATGCATCCTTTCGGCGACACGACACCGGCCTCAAGAATGATCTCGTGGGACCACACCGGCAGGAGACTCGAAGATGTCGGTGAACTCGTCGAGCAGCCGCATTACTTGAGGGTCCGAAGACAAGTCTGTAGGTGAAGATTCGGTCGTCGCGACGGCTCGTAGAAAACATAGGCCTGTCTCGTCGGTCTGCTTGTAAGGGCAAGTGGCCTGAAAAGACTTGGCTGTTACGACTTGGCACCAGATCGAGGGGTGCGGAAGAGGAATGGTACACGACACCTCGGCGCCGAAGGCGTTGCGAACGGTAAGTGTCCGCCGATGGAAGTTAACCGTGTAATCCGCACTCGCAAGCCAAGGCATCCCCAAAATGATGTCGAAGTTCGTGTCCAAGACGTCAAATGTCACCAGTTCGCATGCACGAGGTGCGAAATAAACCGGCACAGCTTCAATGTAGCGATCGAGGAGTTGTTGCGTCCGACCATCTGCCAACTTGATCACCGTCGGGTTTGGCTTTTTTCGAACTTGTGCGCACGACGCTTGCCCAACTTGGATGCAAACATAAAGGAGCGGTGCGTTGTTATCGTTGTACCGCTGCATGAGAAACTCGCGGGCCACCTTGCGTATGTCCCCCACCGCAGCTTCGTCATCCGTCGGCGAAGGTGGTGGTGCATAAAAGGCTAAGTATGTGTGGAGATGGGCGCATAATGTTGGGCATTGCGGTCACGGCAAGCAGCCTGTGGAAGGAAGAGGAAGCCATGCAAAGTCCTCGGACGTCAACGGGTCCAAGACCTCTACGTTGAACTCGTGTGTCGAATCCCTTGAAGAACCACTTGAAGACGATTCATTGTTGCTGTTGCCGGACGGAGAAGAAGCCGCACAAACATCTTGTCCTTGAGCTTGAGAACCAGCGAAGGAACGAGCCGGGAAGCATAGTCATAAGAATATAAGATAGGACTATCGATTTCCGCATGTGCCTCGGAATGAAGAGAGGTTGCTTGCGAAGCAACCGGTTCTGAATCCGTCGAGAGTGCAGCCACATCTCTCTCGGCAACACAAGTAGTATCGGTACTTAGTATGGATGCGGTACACGCCTTCTGAGATAGCGTAATGTGTCTAGGGTTCTTGAGCCGCTGGCCCGGCCCTAGGGTATGAATTGGTGTGTGTCTTTGGTTTGCCGCGTCGGCCACCATCCTGGGCGGCTGCCAATGTCTCCTTCATCAAAAGAGGCAGCCTCGTTTGAAGGGTTGGTCGGCGTAGTTGCTGCGATCACGGCCACTTTTGGCCGATGCCGATCTCTGACCTGGCTCGCAGCAGACAAACGTCCCAAATTCTTGGCTTTGGTGTTCGTCACAATGATCTGCGAGGCTTTATCAAAAAGTTGCTCACTTGTGGTGAGCATCTCCGCAACTTGCGTCAAGGCGTTCTGCAACGTCGGACAGCTCCTCCTGATGAAGAAATGTTTGATGTCGACAAAGGTCGACGACAAGTTGGGCGTGGACGCCAAGCGTTTGTACTCAGTTATGCAGTCCATGCTGGGCAGGTCGTTCTGATAGAACCGTTGAAGTTTCTCAGTTGCCTAAAGCTCGGGCGTCTCCACTTGGAACCGCTTATGCCATGCTGCCTTGAGATCAGGCCAACTGATCTGCGTATGCGGCTCGGAGACTGCGACAGTGTGCGTGGACAACATGTTGTCCAACCATGCGTGGCGCGCGCCCCCCGAGCGGGAGTATAAGTATGCGTGCTGGTTCGGATTGCTGACGTGGTGAATGTCCAACTTCAACTCGAACCGGCGCCACCATGGAATTGGGTCCATCTTCGCTGCATCGCAGAAGACCGGCATGCCGTCAAACTTCGGAATGCTCTCGCGAGTAGTTGAGGTCGAACTGCCTGAGGCGGCACAAATCTGCTGGTCAATCCGCTGATTTGTCGCTAGAGTGCCGTCCTTGAGAGGCCCGACATCGATTTCCAAGATGTTGACACGGTCCATCAAGTTGGAGGGTCCGGCGGGGGTGGCTGTTGTAGGCTGCTGTTCCAACCGGCATACCCGGTCAAGCAGTTCCTTGATAAGTCGAGCCTGCTTTTAGACCAGGGTGTCCACGCAGAGGATGTCCTCTTGCTGTGCTGCACAGGTGGCGACCAAGTTGCTCACATGTTCGCTTGTGGTTGCAAGGCCACACACAGCAGAGGGGGCATCCTCCTCTTCAGCAACCACTGCCCATTCGCCGGCGATCACCTCGATGTCCCCCTCAGATTCGAGGATTTTGTCTCAGCGTAGTCGACGTCGTTCGTCTGTGGCCTTCCTTGCTGCCTCGACATCCTCCTGTCGCTGTTGTCCAGCGAGGCGACGCTGTTCCTCTGCTTCCTCATCGTTCTTCTTACGTGCGGATGTTGCCGCAGCTGCTCGTTGCTTGAACTTTGCTACCATGTCTCCAGCATGCGGGTCTCATAGGCCTCGGTAGTCTCTCCCGTCTGCTGATCCATGCTGCTTGTCTTTGAGCGGGTGAGCACCATGTACTGACGTGATGACCTGCTGCTGCGGCGACTGGTTGCTGATGTGTCCTTCTGACGTGGCCTGCCAATGTGGCAACTCACCAATGTTGCCGCAGGGGGTACCCGAAGATAGAGAAGATCAGAGGGGGCAACAACATAGGTGGGGAAGGGTGGGTTGATCGCCCATATAAGGAGCCACTAATCGAAAAAGAAAAGTTTGAACTTTGCAAAAAATTCGAGAGAAAAGAAAAATACTTGTTTGCAAGTCCAGTAGGCCTCTGAATTCCCCCTGAAGTGCAAAATTACCAATGAGGAAAAATTTTTGAACTTTCACACTGCAAACGAATTTCGAAAGTAAAATACAAAAAATATTCGGAATTACTTAGATGAGACTCATGAGAGTATGCGCAGTTTGGAAAATGATAACTACAAGAGGGATTTCCCGTACCGTTTTCAAAAAAATGAATTTCGAAAATTCAAAAAAAAGATATTCTAGATTTCAAATAACGGGAAATTGCAAAAAGAAATCAAAATTTTCGAAAAAAAAAGATATTATGGATTTCCAACAACGAAATTTTGAATTTTCATAAAAAGAACGAAAACGGAAATTTCAGGTGTTGCGCTCTTGCGATTTTCCACAACAGAAATAGTGGGCGAACAAAATCCAAGAAAAGCAAAAAAAATTGATTTTCGGTAGGTAGGTCAAAATTGTGATTTTGGGGGCTAATTAGCATGCTCTAATCATCAATCAATCAAAACTAATTAACTTCTTAGTCCCCGCACACGTGTCAGATCAGGCTGTCCTGATTCACGTGTGGTGTTCATCCTGATACATACAAAAATGGCACATAATAGCGCAGGGGAAGACTTAGATATAAGCATTGACCTGACCGGGTGTTACATGCCCAGTTGGGCGTTGTACATATAAAACCGAGGATCCACAATGTGATAAAAAGGACTGAATGGACAATGCAATGTTGTTTCAAGAACTCTGACAGCAGAGCCTCTTGAGAACTCATGAGTTGTTGTAATTCCGAAACAACAGATTTGCTTCTTGCTTCAAAAGTAGCCTTGAAAGTTTCGCCAAAAGTTTTTCGACTAAATAAAACAAAACCCACAAAACTAAAAGCTACTAGAATTTCTTCATTATAAAGTAAAATTTGTTTTGAACTTAGCACACTGAATAGTAAAATGCCAAATAGCCAATGTGCCAGTCTTTCTCTATTAGCTTTCATTCGTTTACACCTTTTTTTACGACAAAGAGAATCTGAAGATATTCAATGTAACTAGACAAGCTGCAAAAGAGAATAGCGAGCCCAATAGCAGATTCTGCAGCAACTACAGTTAATACGAATAAAGCAAATAATTGACCCATCATGTCATCTAGATAAACAGAAAAGACAATGCAAGTGGAATCTCAACAAGCAATGTGCATTCTGATACATACAAAATGGTGCTTGATAGCGCAGGGAAAACTTAGACACAAATCCTGACCTTACCGGGTCTGACCTCTATAATGTAGTGCAAGATAACGCAGCATAGTACTAGAGTATTAATGACCAGCCCAATCAATGTTGCAAAGTAGACCAAACATACATCATCCTCACCATACGGTGTGAAGGGAGCCTGGCGCTATACACAGGAAGAGGCGCCAGGTCCATTTCATGCGCAGACGAAGAGGAGCGGATCAGACGGAGAAGAGGAGGGGAGAGATGGGAAAGTCGTCAACACCAAGCCTCGTTACCAGTCCCAAATAATCCCTCGTCAAAATGTCTGAAGTCCAATGTCGAGTCTAGATCCACATGTCACCAAGCTCTCCCTCGCTCTCTCATAGTCTGGTGATGCAGTGAAGTCAAATATCGAGAGGGTGAGAGGGAGATGGTGGACTGAGGAGAGGAAGAAGAAGAACTCTCTCTCTCTCACATATGCCAGGTAGTGGACTGAGAAGAGGAAGAAGAAGAACTCTCTCTCTCTCATATGCCAGGTACTAACCAATGAAGGTGGCGCTATGCTGCAGGCACCTTGAAGATGAGGCTGGAGCGATGGCGCTGCAGGTAAGTCCCTCTGGCCTCTGCCCAATCTCTATGGTACTACTCTAGATATGGCGCCCAACGCTGAAGATTACTGCTAACGCTACAAAGCGCCCAACGCTGAGGACTACTGCTAGCGCTAATACTACTCCTGCAGCGCTCCCAAAGTGCTGTTGCCGAACCCTGAAGACTACCTCCTGCCTCCAGAAGTGCACGTGAAGTGCCTGGGAAGTACCTATGAA